AACTGAACCACCCAGGTGCTCCTCTTCTTTTCTTAAAGATTTATTTATTTGAGAGAGAGAGAGAGAGAGCAGGGGGAGGGGCAGAAAGAGAGAAAGAGAGAAAGAGAAAATATCCTAAGCAGACTCCCTGCTGAGCACAGAACCCAAGATGGGTTTTGATCTCAGGACCCTGAGATCATGACCTGAGTCAAAATCAGGAGTCCAGTGCTTAACTGACTGAGCCACCCAGACTCGCTGACTATTTCTTCTATGATGAACCCAGAAAAGAACACAGTGTTTAAGAGGATGCATATTCAGGATAGAGACTGCTGGAATCCAGCTCCATTATTTACTAGCTTTATCGCACTGCCTGAGTTTCTTATCTAGGTTCCCTCATCTGTTAACTGTGGATAACTCAGAGGCCTATTAGGAGGACTGAATGGGATAAATCTTGCAAAGTACTTAGCATAGTGTCTGACATATAGTAAATATTAAATGAATGTTAAACATTATTATTATCATTAATCTATCAGTATGAAGAATAAAAAGAAACAGGGAAGTATAACACTAATAAATAAAAAGGTAATTTGGCTGCCTCTCATATCTAGGAATTAAATTTTAGGGGTTTGGATTACTGTATATTATTTTTCTATATTTGTACATGCTTCATTACTTATGGAAAAATAAACTATCAAACCGTGCTACAGGAATATATACAAAAATGGTTGAACGCTTTGTAAAGTATTCTCAAATCTAAGACTGTTGAACTTTTTTTCTCCTTTTATGTTTTAAACATATATACTATTTCTGAAAAGTATCATCAGAGGTTGCTGGCTGGCTCAGTCAATAGAGTATGAGACTCTTGGTCTCAAGGTTATGAGTTCAAACCCCACATTGAGTGTAGAGATGATTAAAAAAAAAAAAAAAGAAAGAAAAGAAAAGAAAAAAAAAGTGCAGTCACTATCTTTTATTCAGCACCAGAACCTTTGTTATTCTGAAGTCTGGGGACTTAAGACCATTGAAGTTTGTAAATGTATTGACAAGTGCTTCTAAGAAAGCATGGGCAGAGTTCAGAATATTATCTTAGAAGGTGAAGAACACCATGTAAATAGAGTTGCAAATCTCTTTGTATTGAGCTGAGCTCACAGTTCAGTACCTTAATAATCTTACAGACACTAAAGTTCCTCAAGTTTGAGACAATCCCTGATGAATTAGTTCAATTACTATGATGTGGGCCAAAGAGCAAGGTCACATATACCCTCATGGAGAGAAAGATATCATTTTATATTCGCTTTCAGACACCTTCAGTTAGATTTCCACTGGGTTTTTTGATGTGTGTGTGTGTGTGTGTATGTGTGTGTGTGTGTGTTAACAACATTTAAATTTAACTTCTTGTTCACCTTCCTTACTACTTGTTTTTGTCTAGCATGATTTTTATGCCTTCGGGTGCCTATGAATTATTTATGCACCCATATGATTTTCTTTCTACATCTCCTTGCTATGTTTTAAGTGAAAAGTTATGAAGGAATATTAAATAAGATGAGAGCAAAGCCAAGGGAAATGCAATATAGTTATGTGTGTGTACTGATAATGCCAGTTGTCGAGTATTACTGGACTCAGCTGAAAAAAAGAAAAAAAAATATGTAACTGCCTTCACCAGTTGCTCATTTTATATCACCCAAGGCAAGATTATTTCCTAGAAGACATCGTTCTGTAATATAACCCTTCCTCACCTCTAAATCTCCCTAGCCTCCACTCCAAATACCAGGTAATTTTACTAAATCATAATACATTCTGTTAGCAGTACAGGGAAAGGGACTAAATGAACGTTGGATCATCTGTTATGCCGGCGGGTAAATTACAAATTTCCATTTCTCTGGATCAAATGGCATTTGCAAATCAAACCCTGTAACAGCTACAAAAAAAGCAGACATTGCTAGACTCATATTTTACATTCATTTTAAGTCATAAATCTTTAGAGTGTCATTTAAGTCCCCAGACACAATTATGTATCTTTCTGTACTATTCACAGAGAGTAAAAAGAATTTGCTACACTTACACCGTCCTATCCTAACAATTCATAGCCTTAACGGGTCTTTCCTGGAGACCCTTCTCTCCCTTAATCTTCTCCCAAAGCCATAACACTCATGCATTTTTCTATGATGGAAAGACAGTTTTAGTCTGAAATCCCCAACTTTGCATTTTCATCTTCAAAATCTCCTCTTTGTAGGGAGTTAGCCCTTTTTTTGGCTTTCAACTAAAAAGAAAAAGAAAAAAAAAAAGAAAAAAAGGGAAATGGTTCTTCAAGTCGAACTTGATCTTCTGTGTCTTTCTATCACCTGACACCTGTTTCTTTCTTCTATCCTCACAGTCGGCCATACGATTTCTGTGTTAAAAAAATATACCTCATCCATCACAGAGTTAAGAGATCAGGAAAAGTGCCTATCAAAACTGTTGTGAAAGAAACCATCTGCTAACTTTCAACTGGCTTTCCAAGAAGGTGCTAAGTAGTATCTCTTAGTGGCTCTGTGGCACGGGGCGTTAAGTCAACAACACCACACAATAAATGGTTTTCTCTCTTTAATATCTAAACCTGTTCTAATATAGCTAGTGGAATCTTTTATTTCCTTTCCTTTGGCGATGAAAGAAAACATGCTGTCACGTAAAAATCACCTCTAAAACAACCGTGCGGTAATGGGGTTCGAGTTATGTGTTTGGAGTCTAAAAAGCAAGCATGGCCTCGCTTGGTGATTTTTAACTATCTTTTATTCTCTTAGTGTCCTGTGAGTTGATTTCTCTTTCTGTAAGATATACACTGCCTTTTATTCAATACAGAAAGAATAGAAAAAAAAAAAATCTTGGGAAACTCTCAGCCTGGTCCAGGTTTTCTTTTATAAGAATTTTAAGTCTTTTGTTTGTTTGTTGTTTTTTGCTTTTTTTTTTTTTTAAGGATCACAAGTTCATTTACTTCCAAATATCAGTTGTGTTGTAGCTTCATGTGTGCAGTCCCTGTGCATCTGCGATTTTAGCTACTGACATCATTCCATATTATTTTTTGTGGCCCCCTCCCAAAAAAAATTAGATCCTAAATGGCCACTGCAGGGCTTTATGTTCCTCTTTAATGTCATACCTCTATTAGGCAGTTTATTTTAACTTCCTTCTTTTCCAGATTATTCATGTTGGAAGGTATACTTTCAAAACTCCCCTTTAGTGATGATAAAATGGACTAGACTTGATAAATCTTTCTGGGTATAGATTTTCAAAACTCCTGTTGATCCACTATGCTTTCATGTTAAAGAAAGAATTGAGACATCAGCTCTAAGACAAAATAACTTCAGCTCCAGAGCAGAGAAGGCCAGCCAGCCCCTGGGTGGTTTTCATAGAAGAAGATTTGAAACCTTCCCTCTGTAGATGGTCAGTTACACACCCACATCGAGGCATCAAAGTGAAGGTGGTGACCAGTGTGGGGTTGATGGAACTCTGCAGGCCCCGCAGGTCAGTTTGGCCAAAGGAAGTGCTGCACCAGCCCCACAGTCTGTGGCTGTACAGTGCCCAGTGGTCAGAGGGAAGGCATTTATGTCCCTCTGGAGATGCACGGGGGAAGAGAACTGAAAGTCGATTGTATGTTGATCTCACAGCCATCTCCTGATAAATATCTTTTTAATACTGTGATGCGAATGAGCTCCTCTGTGTTACCAGCAAAGAGTATTTTTGCCTTTGACAACCGGGACTCTACGGTTAGATCCCATAAACCTCCACTTTGATCAGTAGGAATCAAAATGTGGGTGTACATTTGCTGCATAAGTTCAGTTTAAACACATTCAGATAAGGACCAGTGTTTTTAGAGAAAGCTCAAGAATATGAAATGGTGCTTATTGGAGCGCCTCGGTGGCTCAGTCATTAAGCGTCTGCCTACGGCTCAGGTCCTGATCCCAGCCAGGGTCCTGGGATGGAGCCTCACATCAAGCCCCACATCAGGCTCCCTGCTCAGGAAGCCTGCTTCTCCCTCTCCCATTCCCCCTGCTTGTGTTCCTTCTCTTGCTGTGTCTCTGTCTGTCAAATAAATAAATGAATAAATAATCTAAAAAAAAGAAAGAAAGAAAGAAAGAAATGGTGATCATCCAAGGCTTTCTTTTTCCAAGCTGCCTGCCAGGTACATACGGGTGGATGAGATGAGTGGATGTGGGTAGGAAAGTGGCTCACTTCTGCTTCCAGCAGCCCCATTTTTTTTTTAAAGATTTTATTTATTTATTTGACAGACAGAGATCACAGGTAGGCAGAGAGGCAGGCAGAGAGAGGAAGGGAAGCAGGCTCCCTGCTGAGCAGAGAGCCCGACGCGGGGCTCGATTTCAGGACCCTAGGATCACCACCGGAGCCAAAGGCAGAGGCTTTAATCCACTGAACACCCAGGCGCCCCTCAGCGGCCCCATTTTTATATGACTTTTCAGCCGCCCTGTTCTAATCCTTTCATGGGCTATGAGGTTGAGCTGGACTCAGGTTTGGCCACATAAGTAGTGTTGGAGGGCAGGCTTTTGAGGAGGTGTGGAAGGTGTGTAGTGGCTACAGAGGCAAATCCTCTTCCCCAACAAAAAATCAACCAAGCTGCTTTCTTCCCTTTTCAAGATTTTTATGTAATTGCTTGTGGATTAACTGCATGATTTTCTTTGTTGTTGTTGTTTTGTTTCCTTTTGTTTTCACAATTTTTGACCTTCGGAGCTCAAACAGCTGGTCTCATCTGTACAACATTAAGAGATCGTTCCCATTGTGTTGTGTGCACATTCAACAATGTTTTACAGCAAATGTGTATGTGCGCTTGACAGAAGTAATAGTCTCATTTTACATTTGTGTTAAGTCTCAGAATACAACAGTAAAAGCAAAACAGGTGCTAGAAAGAGCCTGTGGCAATTATAGCAGGGATGACACATCAGTAGTTGTCATAATGACTTAACAATTAAGGGTTAGCTGAAAATCTTGTTGCGCTCAGGAGACTGCTTAGTACCATCATCCTGTAGAAACACAACAATTAAGAGGACTTGTCCTGCCATGTTGTTACTCAGAACTGAAAACGCCCTCTGGATTCATGTTTCCTCATTTCCCGGCCAGCTCATTCCACCAAATGACATGATTATGTGACTCTGGTGGGTTTTGACTTGCCTTCGGTGGAGAGGTTTCTTTTTCTGTGTTTTCTGTTAAATGCCCTTTGCTCTCAGCTTAAGCCATGAATGAAATTTTACATTTTGGCAAACTATGCTCAAGTCACAGATGTCTTTATTTCATAAAGTTAAATTGACTTTTATCTAGTGTATTTCTTTTTCTTATCAGCACTGAAAAACTGTTTTGGGGGAGGTCAACAAAACATACTCAGTTGAAATCCTTTCACAGACTCCCCAATACGAACCAAAATTATACTTATATCAATTTACAGAAGGGTATGTGCTAGGTCTGATTTCTTCTTCCAAAGCTAAAATTCCAGTTCACCTTTATTTTCTCTAAAAAATGTGTCTTGGATAAGATTTCAGTTCCATGTGTACTATTCCTGCTTTCATTTAAAGGCTATAATTAAGTCTTTCGTTTGTTCCAACTGCAGTTCATTCCTGGCACTGGAATAAGAGCTAAGATGTTGCTTCTGCCCATTCTTCCCGCAATAAAAGTGGAGTTAACAGCACAATGATTACTAGCTTTTCTAATGCGAATTATAGTACACATGACAAAACAAATTTGCCTTAATATAAAAATGGAATGTAGAATTTTATTTCATCAGCTACCTGTCAAGCAAACCCACTTATAAGTCCTAGAATAATATTAATCTTTGCAATAATGTTTCTTTCTATTTTCATTTTCAAAAAACAGTCACATTTCAAATGACATGCCCATTCTTGGGTCAATGTGTACTTTTACTTTTTAAAAGCAATTAACAAAAGCACCTTGGGGGTGGCTCAGTGGTTAAACGTCCAATACCTGATTTTGGCTCAGGTCATGATCTCAGGGTCATGAGATCGAGCCCCATATCCTGCTCCCCACTCGGCATGGAGCCTGCTTAAGATTCTCTCTTTCCCTCTCCCTCTATCCCTGCTCACCCCACAGCCTGCATATGCACTCTCTCTTTCTCTCTAAAAAAATAAAAAATAAATACAAGTAACTAACAGACTATGTTAAAATATTACTTTGTTTCTTCCAGTCTGGTTTTTTAAGGTCAGAGTTAAATTCAGCATGTTTTAGAACTAGGTGCTGGAAGAAACACCCTTCTTTCTGGTTCCTCTTATGCAATATCTAGTCATCTTCTTTATTATGAGGGAACAAAGTGGGCACTTGGGAAAAATAAAACTGACCTTGTAAGTTTAGGCTTAGCAGACGATTAGGTATAGGATAAATATCTAAAAAATACTTAGCTATCTGAAAAACAACAAATATCTTAACAATCTTCAGATGAATTTTACATATTATTAACTCCTCTGCAAGTAGGCAACTGAGACCTAAAATCTAAGAAACATTTTAAGGTTATAAAAATGGATTAGGAAATGGGAACGAAAGGCAGCCTTCAGACTCTTTATTCTGTGTTTCATTGACTAGATAAGAAAAAAAGGGGGGGAGGGTATAGCATTAAACTTCTAAAGGATGTGGTCTCACCATTGAGTTTTTCTGGGATTGATCCCACAGACTTCACAGTTCTCTACCTACTAAAGGCACTTTGCAATGTGACCTTTTCTTACTTATTTGAACCAATTTACCCATAAATGCCTCTACTTTAGTCAGACCTTCCATGAACACACTGTGTTTATTCCTGCTTCCTTGCTAATGTCCCACCCATTTGCTCACATAATGCCATCTGTGATTCTGCTCTCCACTGTTTGGGTCTCTGTCCCTTAGAGTTCAGCTCTGGTCTTACTTCCTTCATTAAGCCTTCCTTTGATGCCTGCAATACATCAATCTCTCTCTCCTCTGAGCTCTGCAACTAATACCTACAACATTTCATATCTTTATTTTGTTTATATGTGGCTTTACATCACAGGTTCCTTATGAACTATATTTTATATTCTTATGTCCACTGGCAACATAGTTGTATATACCTTATTTAATTGGATTTAAGGGTTAAAATGGTCAATGGGCTCCTTTTTTCCCCTGTCCATCTCCCAGTCCTGGCGGTTTAAACTGGAGACTAGATGCTATAAGCTGAATGCTTGTGTAACATCCCCACCCCCAAATTCATATGTTGAAGCCCTAATCCCCAGTGTGATGGTGTTTGAAGGTGGGGCATTGGGAAGTAAGTAGGTCATGAGGGTAGAGCGTCATAAATGGTGTTAGTGCTCCTATGCAAGGAGACATGAGAGAGAGGATATCTCCACCATGTGAAGACACAGCAAGAAGATGGCCATCAATACGCCAGAAAGAGAGCTCTCACCAGGAACTGACCCCCCTAGCACCTTGATCTTAGACATGTAGCCTCTGGAACCTGAAGAAAGAAATGTTGTTTAAGTCACTCAGTCTATGGTATTTTTGTAATAGCATTCCAAAATTACTAAAATACTTAGCAAGTGAATCAGTAAACAAAGAATCCAAACCAGGTGGTTTAATTGGAAGGATTTAACCCAGGCAACTTCTTAAAAAAGTGTTGGAAGAGCTAAAAAGGCAAACAGCAAGTGATAAAGCCAGAGGTTAGGAATAGCAAGAAGCTGCCAGCACTTCCAGGGCTGGAGGGACAGAAAGAGGAGAAGCTTTCACCAGACTTTAGGAGCTGGGGCGGCTCAGCTGCTTCTCTTCTGACTTGTGCTCTCTCTCTGTCTCTGTCTGGGCCACCAAGAATAAAGGCTGCTTGCAGGAGGTTGGGACATGGAAGAGACACAAACACTGTCAGAAATACTGGCCAAAGCAAGGAAAGAAGGAGAGGCATACTCTGGCTTCTCCCCACCTTCTATACTCCAAACTCCTGCTAATGACTTTTATTGGCCAAACTAACAGGAAGCCAATTGGCAAAGAAGCCTGGGCAATGTGTTTTGCAGAAACCAAACCTCTGTGGTATAAAGCAGAGCAGGAGAAGCAGAGAAAAGAAATCTAAGAGCAAATAAGCAAATGATTAACAATTGCTGGGACAGAACTGAACAAATCCAAAGCTCTTCTACAGATGCGATGAAACCACAAAGAGTTCTAAATAACTCCTAAGTAACCTTATATCTTTATTAGAATTGCTGCTTCTGGATGATCACAATTTATTAATTTAGACTTCTTAATAATTTATGATTCCTTTTGTTTTCTTATAAGTTGGAAAAGAAATACCAAGTCTTTCTATCTTTGGCCTATTTCAAAAGGGTCACGACTGTTCTGACATCTGTCACCTCTAAAGAAATAAGTTCCAAAATGCATCACTTAATTTAACTTATTTCTCTAAATTCTAGCTGCTCCCTCACTGATAAAATTTCCATCTGTTAACACATTGAAAGCTAATCTCATTCTTTCATTATTAGCTAAAACTTTTTCATTCGAAAGAAATAGAAATCCAACTCTAACTAGCTTCAGCAAAGGAGGTAATGTATTGGCTTGATCTAATTGGAAAATTGGAATCTTGTATTTCAGGCATAGCTAGATCCAGGAACCTAAATGATAATCAGTTAAAATTTGTTTCTCTCTCACTCTCTGTCTCTGGTTTTCTGTCTCTTCTTACTCCACTCTGCTTGCCTTTGTTTAACTTTTTTTTAAAGTTTTTATTTAAATTCCAGTTAGTTAACATACAGTATATGGTTAGTTTCAGGTGTGCAGTGATTCAACACTTACAACACCCAGTGCTCATCACAAGTGTCCTCCTCAATCCCCATCACCTATTTCACCCATTCTTCCACCCCTGCCTCTGCCTCCAGTAACTATCAGTTTTTTCTCTAAAGTTAAGAGTCTGTTTCTTGGTTTGCCTCTCTCTTTAAGTCTCAGTCAGGCTGGCTTTGTGTGTGACATAGGCATAATTTGGAAAGAACTCTCATTGGTCGGCTTGGATCACGTGCTCACTTAGAGAATCATTCAGTAGGGCCAACTCTATGGTAGATCCTGATTTACTAGACCTAGATCCAAAGTACCACTTGTAGATGGTTTGGGAGTGTGATCTTTCCCATCCAAATGCCATTACAGTTTGAAGAATAGGTTGTTTCCAAAAAAAAGGATATGGAGAAAATAAAAACATATATTCAGGACACCTGGATGGTTCAGTTGGTTAAGCGTCTGCCTTTCACTGGGGTCATGATTCCAGGATTCTGGGATCAAGTCCCACATCAGGATCCTTGCTCAGTAAGAAGCCTGCTTCTCCCTCTGCCTCCTGCCCTCCTTGCTGTGCTCCCTCTCTCTCTCTCTCTGACAAATAAATAAAATCTTAAAAAAAACAAACAGGGGAACCTGGGCGGCTCAGTCAATTAGGCCTCTGCCTTCGGCTCAGGTCATGATCTCAGGGTCCTGGGATCGAGCCCTGCATTGGGCTCTCTGCTCAGCCGGGAGCCTGCTTCCCCCTCTCTCTCTGCCTGCCTCCTGCCTACTTGTGATCTCTGTCAAATAAATAAATAAATTCTTTAAAAAAATACATTCATTATAAAACAAACAAACGTATACTCATTACACTCTTCTATCCTCCTCCTACTAATTTCTTAAAAAAATTTTGTTTTTGCTATTAGAATTTGCCAAGCATGTTTTAAACCACTTAGTCCCTATCTTTTGCCTCCAGACCCAGCCAATCATCAAGCTCTACCATGTCTCCCTTAAAAAAAATTCTATTATCTGTCATTTGCTTTTATTTTCACTGCTACTACTTTAATTTAGACCAGGTTTTCTCCTCCTTGGCGCTATTGACATTATGGGCCAGATACTCTGGGTTGTAGGTACTCCTGCTCATTCTAAGATGTTTAGCTGCAACCCTGGTCTCTACCCAATGGGTGCCAGAAGGACTCTGTACTGTGTGACAACCAGAAATGTCCCCAGACATCGCAAATATCTCCTAGGGAGTAACATATGCCCTGATAAAGAATCCCTGATAGAGAGTGTCTGTGTGACTCAGTTGGTTAAGTGTCTGCCTTTGGCTCCGGTCAGAATCCCGGGGTCCTGGGATGGATTCCTGCATCGGGCTCCTTGGTCTGCTCCTGCTAGTCCTCCTGCTTCTGTGTGCATGCTCTCTCTCTCTAATAAATAAAATATTTAAAAAAAAAGAAAGAACCTTTGATATAAGTATTTGTTATCTTAGACTTGAGTTATTATGATAGTCTTTTAACTAGTGTTTCTCTTCCCAGTATGTATCCTTTTACCTTGTTTCCATACAGTATTACCACCATAGTATTGTTAAAGCACACCACTGGTCACGAAAATCCTTGAATAAAATTTTTGTCAGTTTTTCTGTACTGTCCACTGAATAAAGACCAGATTCTTTAATTTGATATCTATCTTTGAACCCTTAACCTATTACTACTTAGCTCAACGTAAAGGAGTATTTGGCACTCCAACCAGACTACCCATTATTCCCTATCTCAGCTTGCATTTGCCAAGTTGTTGGTCTTGCTGCTTTACAGGCCAGCATCGTAACCTGTCAAACCCTCAAACTTTTACACATTCCCCAAGGCCAACCTCCAGTGCCACCTTCTCTTTTCCTCTAGGAAATCTCCCTTGTGTCTTTCTCCTTTGTCCCCAGTATAGCCTTATCCTCCTCATCCGCTCTCACCTTTACAACACTCTTATTACATTTTAGCTCTTTTCACCCATTTGACTCATAGCACATATATCTTGCATTGTTATTTTTTATGTTACTATCTTATCATTCCAACTAGAGGGAAGAAATTGAAGTATGTGATACCCTGGTATCAGCACTTAGATGTTTCCTAGGGCATGTTATAAATTTTCTTGTGTTTCTGTTTCCTGATTAGCTTAATGAAAAAAGCCATGCCCTTCCTGCCCATTTCAGTTGTGGGGTTTTTGTTTGTTTGTTTTCTTGTTTTCTTGTTTTTTTTTTTTTTTTTGAGAATAAAATAAATAAAATGAATTCATTTCATAGGGATACTACAGAGGACAACACAGTTTTTATTAGAATCCTTGGAAGATTTATTATGACTTGTTATTGACAGGCAGCATACATTTGGGAATAAACAGGGAAGTGAGAATAGAATCTTTATTCTGGAGAAGAATTATTTGTGGATGTGAGTGCATTAGGGATCAACCCAGTGTTTTGTACTTTCACTTAGATATGAAGTTGGTTACCACTCTAATAGTTATGAGGGTGGTAGAAAAGATGAAGGAGTCATGGGAATGTAAACTGGTGCAGCCGTCTTGGAAAATGGTAGTTTCTGAATTAGTTAAGCATACAGTTACCATATAACTGAGCAATACCAGTCCTAGGTACGTACCCAGGAGAAATGAAAATATATGTCCATACAAAAACTTGGATGTGAACGTTTATAGTATTATTCATCTTAGCCCAAATGTGGAAACAACCTAAATGTTCATCAACTGATGAATGGATAAGCAAAATATGGTATATCTTTTCAATATTTTGTCATAGAAAAGAATGAAGCACTAATACATGTTACAATGCAAATAAACCTTGAAAACCTTACGGTGAGTGAAAGAAGATAGTCAGCAACAGATCTTCTATTATATCATTTCATTGACATGAATTGGCCTGAATTGGTAAATCCATATGGACAGAAAATAGATTAGTGTTTGTTTAGGGCTGGGGAGAGGAGAAGACAGGGACAAAGGAGTGATATGTGAAGGGTGTGGGGTTTCTTTCTGAGATGATAATAATGTTCTAAAATCGTGCTGATGGTTACACATAAGAGTGAATATACTAAAAAAAAAAACCCACAGGATTGTACATTTGAAATTATATACTTGAAATGAATGGTATATGAATTGTATTTCAGTGAAGCTGTTATTAAAAAAAAAAAACAAAACTTGCAAGCCACCAGCTATATTAAAAAAAAAAAAAAAGTCCATAGCCTACCAATGTCTTAGTAAGTTTCTCGAATCAAAACAGGTAAGATAATGAAAGACTAAAATGCTAAGTCCAGAGATTATATCATGCATATTTTTGGTGTCAGTCCTTTGTTTGCTCCCAATTCATTTTTTAAAAAGATTTTATGTATTTATTTGACAGAGAGAGACACAGTGAGAGGGGGAATGCAAGCAAGGGGAGTAGGAGAGGGAGAAGCAGTCTCCCCGCTGAGCAGGGAGCCCGATGCAGGGCTTGGGCTCGATGAGTCCCAGGACCCTGGGTTCATGACCTGAGCAGAAGGCAGAGGCTTTAACCCACTGAGCCACCCAGGCGCCCCTCCTAATTTATATTTATTCCCCTGGCAGAAATTGTGTGTTCTGCTGTCTCTGCATCTGCATTCTTACCTGACACCGAACACTAATTAGTGACTCATGGATCCATAGAATGCTATTAACTTGCCAATATTAATTCTTTGTTTTTCACTTAGCTATGTCAGGTTGTCAAACAGGAAGTTTTACCATAAAGGATTATACTTGTGGTGGGATATAGAGAGGAAACCCTGTGCTTCCAAACCATCAAGAACACTTGAGTGGCATCGGTTTCTTTCAACACGTAAGTTGTGGCCCAACAGTTATATAACAGAAAGTGTAGGCAGACTATGACTTTTATTGTTGTCAGAGGTAACCTACGTTCTTCACTCTGTCAGACCCATGTTAAGATCACCACTGATTTGCTGAAGAGTTTTCATTTCTCTGTGTAATGTATAGATTGTCCTACTTAAACTCAATTTCATTTTTGGGGTCTATTTCCCCTTTTAAGTATAATAGGAATGTGTGGGCCTCCAAACCCTTTCCTGGGGGTGGATTTTTTAAATCTACATGAGCCAATTGGGAAGTTTGGCTTTGCCATCTCTCTTGCAGACATTCTCTCTGATGTTCTGGGTTTCTTGGTTGACACAATGGAATCTGTGTCTTAGCACAACTGGAGATGAGGTGACTCCTTCTCTTGGTGCCAGAGATGGGATGGAGAAGACTTTTTTATTCTTCCCCTTGCTCCCTTGACCCTTTAGCCTCTTCAGTAGGAAAACATTAAATGGCATGCCATATATAATATTTAGCAAAACCCAGTGATAGTGATAAATGGAGGATTTATAGTCACATGTATTAAGCACTTACTATTTACCATCCACTATGTTGAATGCTTTACAGAATCTCGACAACTCCATGAATATGGAATATGAATATGAATACGAATATGAATACTACTATTGTGCCTATTTTATAGGTGGGTAAACCAAGTCTTAGAAGGGTGGAACAACTTGCCCCAGATCTAGGCAGTTTCACCAATACTCTTAACCACTGCCAAGATTCAAGTTCTAAGTACAGTTGACCTTTGAAAATGTGGGAGTGGAGGGACACTAGTCCTGCACCCCTGCGCAATCAAAAATACATGTATCCCCCAAAATATAACTACAAATGGCCTATTATTTACTGGAAGCCTTACTGATAACATGTGCAGTCTATTAACACATATTTGGTATGTTATAGGTATTATATATTATATTCTTACAATACAGCAAGCCAAAGAAAATAAATTATTTTTAAGAAAATCGTAAGGAAGAGAAAATACATATATTTTCAGTACTGTGCAGTATTTGTCAAAAAAAAAAAAAATTCACACCTAAGTACTTGGCAGTTCAAACCTGTGTTGTTCAAGGGTCAACTGCAGTTTGGAATTTTCTTTTCTGATTTTAAGTAGGCTCTACGCCCAATGTGGGGCTTGAACTCATGACCCTGAAATCAAGAGTTGCATGCTCTATCTTTAGCCAGCCAGGGACCTGGAGTTTGGAATTTCTTTGTGCATTTGAAGGAAATGACCACAAGATGCAGGCTTTCACAGTGTTAGTGCCCACCTGCTGGACACCTTCTGTTTGTCTTCCAGATCTTCTGTACATTTTCCCACTCTGTCTTGTGCATTGGGAGTTGACCCTGAATTATGTTGATGCCTCCCTTACCCTTTGGTCCCAAGAGGATCATTAGCAAGAGATTGGAAGGAGAAGAGCAGAGAGGTCAGCTCTCTCCTGCCTTGTCACTGTCCCCTGGCTGAGTCCTGTCACCATAGGTGTCAAGCTGTTGTCATATGGCTCTTTCTGCTCAGCATTTTCTGTCTCCAGGTTCTGGTAACCATTGTTCCACTTTGCCTAAGGGCCGTAACACCTGCAGTTCCAGCCCTAGGAGTCACACTAATCCCTTGTGGTTTCTCTACACCCTGCCCACACCTTTATAAATAGACCTTTCATCAAACTCTCTGGATTTCCTGTTGTGAGCGATCCATTTGTTTCCTGCTGGGACCCTAACTGATCCAGTCTCAATGGGTGTTTCCATTTCCTTGACATGGTTCTAGCTTCAGGTCACATCCGTGACTCCTGTTAGAGAAGGCTCAACTCCGGTTCTTTCCTGATGCTTGCAGGCTCAAGTAGTTGGGAGGGCAGTGGGCCTTGGGAGAAGGGGAAGGTGTAAATCTTTCCTCTAGTTCCAGTTCAGTCTCCCCACCTAGAACAGCTTCTGGGACTGCTAATGCCTTATTAACTAATTACATCTCACAAAAACTCAGTGTAATTATTTTGTCAGAGACACCATGGCCTAACCTAAGCTGAAGAAGACTATTTTTCTTACTAGCAGGGCTGTGGCCCAGACATGCGGAAATAGTGGGTCTTCATTATATTATTGTTCCTAAAATCACTGGATTCAGATTCCTTTTTTTAAAAAAGATTTTTAAGTAATCTCTAACCCAACATGGGACTAGGACTTACAACCTGGAGATCAAGAGTCACCTGCTCTACTGCCTGAGCCAGCTGGGTACCCCTTGGTTTCAGATTCTCTTCTGCTCCACCTGGGGCCCTGGCAGCACACACAAAAACCCATGATAGCTTTTAGTGGCTTCCTGGAGAATGTTACCAACTGTGATAAAAATTACTTTGATTCAGAATTTGGGGGTGAGAGATGCTCACTGATTCTTCCTTGTGTGTTAAGTAATGGAGATAAGCAATCTTGCTTCTTTGAAAAAGAAGCCTTTCTACTTCACATTTTCCCTCTGAATATAAGAGTATATATAGAGTCCTCGGGAAGATCTTCAGAGATGTATTTAATTCAGTTTTTGAAGGGTCGGGAGGTCTTCTGGCAGGAAGTTACAGATGTTGGCTGGGGATTTTCTAGGTGGAGAGAACCATTTGTGCAAAGGCACAGAGGCAGGAGAAAATGTGAGAAATTTAGGGAAACCAAATACAGGACTGTATGATTCCCAGGGTTCACCTAATCAAACATCCTCAGACATCAAGGATGAGCAATCAGACAGAGCATCCACCAGCCTACACAGGTGGGTATAGCTGATGTCTGTTCAGGTTGGTTAGCGCCCTTTCCTAAGGTGACCAAATATCCTGGCTGCCCAGGGCTGTCCCAGGGTTAGTACCAGAAGTTCCATATCCCAGGAAACCCGTTAGTTCTAAACAGACTGAGACAGTTGTTTGGAACTAACTGCTAATAGAGTAGTTCAATATTTTGGACATCATCCCAGCATTAATACTTAAGCACATATATACATTCATGCAGCTAATGTTTTCTTTTTTAAGATTTTATTTATTTGTCAGAGAGACAGAGAGGGTGCACAAGCAGGAGGAGAAGCAGGCAGAGGGAGAGGAAGAAGCAGTCTCCCTGCTAAGCAGGGAGTGGGATGCGGGACTCGATCCCCAGGACCCTGGGATCATGACCTGAGCTAAAGGCAGACGCTTCACTGACTGAGCCATCCAGGCGCCCCATAATATTTTCTGTATATGTATTTATGTTCTTGGGTTCTCACTTTCCAAGTTTAGGCCTTTGATAGCACTCTTGCTCTTTTAGTCTTGAGCAGGATTTCTAACCCAAGGCTGTATTAGGTATCATCAAACATGACCTCCTCTCGCCCTGACAGTCTTAAGAATTTCCCAGGCCTGTAGTCTTCTGAGGCATCTTGAACTTTTCTTTCCTGCCATCAGAGTGAGTTTTCCTCAAGGATTTTTGAAGAACTCTTTTCAGACTTTTCTGCTTAGAGGAAATTCCTTTTGAGCCTCCGAAGATGGCTGGTTGTATTAAAAGAAGCACAGCTATGACGGGAATGTTTGAAGACTGTTCCAGACATTGTGGGCTCATTTTGGTTTTAATTTTAGTCCTTGAATTACGTATTTAATATAGACCAATTTGCAAGAATAGCAGATATCCCAGCTGACTTCTGTGGCAGGCAGAGAGTTCTTCCTCTCTGCCGTCCTCCGAGCCAAACAGCTGTGCTCTGAATCAGCTCAGCAGGCAGCTGCTGGGTGCCGCAGTCCTGCTGGAACATTCTCCCGCTTTGAGGCCACACCTGGGAGCCCAGAATGTCACCGGACAAGCCAAGCGAGGTGACTGGTGCTGCGGAAAAGTCTGTTACCACTCCTTCCCTTACATGCCCGAAACTCACAGACATCTGCAAACGATTTGCCGAAAAGTCAAGTCTATGTTGAGTGAGAGGTCTGAGAAGTGCCTGCTTGATGTAAAGACATATTCAGGTTTGGAAAAGTTTTTCTTTGTCAGAGGCGAAAGCATTCATCTATGACTCCGTGAGGACGGTAATTATCTCCAATCTTTCAGAGTTATCATCACCATCACTATTATTTTCCGTTTGCTGGAAAACCAGCTTTGGAAACACAGCAGAAGGAACAACTGCCCAGGTTCGTGTCCCGAGGAGTGATTTCCATGCTCCATTCTTGTCCCTACAGTCACATTTTCTGTGTCTTAGCTTTCGCTAAATCCGTACCCATAGGAAAAAGCTGGAAGAGTGCCCTCTGCTCGGGCCTGTTCTGCCATCACTTAGTTACGATTCAACACATATTTACTGAGCCCTTCCCATGTGCCAGATACTGGTGATGGGTCCCCCCCTCTGTCGTCTAATCGTTGGTGGCAGTTTCAGACCAGCTTGGCAGGGATATTTTGGAGAAGGTGCTAGTCAATGCACATTACATGTTTGTAAGTTCTATCCCTATTTTTCAACGATTTGAGGAGGAAATGTGAACCATATTTAAGATCATGAACCTATTAGTGATTTTCTTTCCACAAAGCTGTATACTTTCTGGGTTTGGAAGGGATTTGGCAGTCCCACGGTCGCACAGTCTCAAGGCTGTCCCTCTGACTTTTCCGTATCTGTGTTTATTTGCCTTTCCGCCTCCCCCTATCTCCAGGTGAGCTCCAGGAGAATGGGCCAGGACATACTAATCATAGTATTCCCAACATTTTAGTTTGGTATCCAGTGTGTCCCAAGTGCTGCAAATTGATTGACAAATGGTTGCAGGAAGGGAGAGTTCCAGAGAGGCAAGTGACTTGGTCAAGGTCAAAAATGAGTGGCAGACCCAAGACTCAGATTCATATTCCCCGCCTGATCGAATCCAGTGCTCTTCCTATTTCATTATTTGTATCCAGCTTTGAAACGAGTACTCAGGTGAGGCTGAGCTGGTGTGAAAGCTTCCTCTCAAGAGAGTTCGGAGGCAAGCGGTATGGAGAGAAAGTGAAACAACAACAATAAAAGGATGTATTTTCAAGTTAAAAGAT